GATTTAATTGCTTTAAAACCATACCTTAGCTGGGCACAGTGGCATGCGCCTGTAGTCGCAGCTACTCATCTCTTAAAAAAAAAAGTTTTATGCTTGTTAATTTCATAAATGCTAGATGGATCACCCCAATCAAAGAAAGCTACTCAAAAATAAAATATGAAAGGTGTTAGTGGGGTACAGCTTACTAGCTTTTTGCCACTAGTGGATAGGTTGGAATTTAAATTCTTCAGATATTGGAACCATAACAATTCTGTAACTGATGATTTTTGCTATGATTGGTGCCTATTGGAGCCTCTGGAAAGAGGAAGACAACATGGAAAGAGAAGCAATCTCTGTTTGGAACATGAAAGTACAGTTAAATTGCTAATGAGCCCTTGCCAAAATCAAATCTCTACCCGTAGAAGCTGATGATTGTCTAATCTAATATGCATTTTTTGAGTGGGTCAGTTGGACTCTAAGACCAACAGGATAAAAAGGCAGCCTTGCGTGTCACTTGGATTTGGATCACAGCTGTCTGGCCACACAGCATGCCTTCACTGCTGCTGAAGAAAAGCAGCTGGCTTATTGGAATCTCAAATTCACAGATCCTAATTGCCTGTCCCTGACTCTAAGCTGAAACCTGCTACTGTCTGCCATGAACTGTTTCAGCCTCAACCAACATAAGCTATGCTGAATTGAAAGCAGACACAGGCTTAATGGCCAGGACTCGGACGTTGGGGCCGTTGGAGATTCAGGACCCCCTCTGTGGTACACTAAACTAGGAAACCATCCTGGAACCTGACTGAAAAGGGCTTATTCTTTAATGGGACCATCTAAGATCAAGCTGCTGGTAGGCTGTTTGTCTCTAATACAGGCTACTTGCATTCCTAACTTCTGATCTTTGCCAAAAGCTGCAGGCTGGAAAAGGGCACATCACAAGGATTGTAACCTCTCCTGCTTTTGACAGACCAGACTCAAACCTTCTCTGGGGCTTCTCTGCTGTTGACTTGTTGCATTCAGCTTTTGGGATTAGTTGCACTTGCAGCAGTAGACTGGCAGCCTGACTCTACTTCCTTCACTTTTCTCCCAGCACACACAGCTTAGTAAAGTAGGTGGATTATTAAAATGTAGCTGTCCCCAGAAAGGTATTAGACTTTTCTAGGTTGCTCATTGAATAATCAGGACAAAAGGGTTAGAAAATTATGTAAACACATTTTGAAATTTTTAAAAATTCAGGGTTTCATCCTTTATTAGTTTGCTAAGGATACCATAAAGTACCACAAACTGAATGACTTACACAATAGAAACTTATTTTCCTATAGTTCTGGAGGCTAAAAAGTCCAAGACAAGGTGTCGACAGGTTTGGTTTCTTCTGAGACCTCTCTGTTTGGCTTGCAGATGGCTGCCTTCTTACTCTGTCCTCACATGGTCCCTCTGTCTGTGTATCTGTGTCCTAATCTCTTCTTTCAATAAGGATACCAGTCACATTGGATTAGGGTCCATCCTAACAATCCCATTTTAACTTAGTTAATTCTTTAGGGCCTATCTTCAAATATACTCACATTCTGAGGTACAGGTGGTTAGAACTTAGCATGAATTTTTATGAGGACATAGTTCAACCCTCAACATATTATTACCAATTTCTGAATGTGTCTTTCTAGTTAAGTTGCATAAAAACATTTATCTACTTGAACTCTAGCATGGTGGTAAAAAAAAAAAAAATGTTGGCCAGGCACAAGTGATGGACACATATGATCCCAGCACATCGGGAGGCCGAGGTGGTCGGATTGCTTGAGCTCAGAAGTTTAAGACCAGCTTGGGCAACATGATGCAATCCTGTGTCTACAAAAAGTACAAAAATTAGCTGGGTGTGATGGCATGCGCCTATAGTCCCAGCTACTTAGGAGGCTGAGGTAGGAGGATGGCTTGAGCCCTGGAGCCACGTGGAGGTTGCAGTGAACCAGAATCGTGCCACTACACTCTAACCTGGGCAACAGAGCCAGACCTGGTCTCAAAAAACAAAAATGCTTATTTACAGAAATGCTTTTGTGCCTCTTACATACAACCCTTTCAGAGGAAAGGCCTGGCTGAGAGTAAGAGATGGTTGAAAAAACATTACGTTATGGCTGGGCACAGCGGCTCATGCCTGTAATCCTAGCACTTTGGGAGGTTGAAGTGGGTGGATCACCAGGTCAGGAGTTTGAGACCAGCTTGGCCAATATGGTGAAACCCTGTCTGTACTAAAAATACAAAAATTACCCGGGTGTGGTGGTGTGCACCTGTAATCTCAGCTACTCAGGAGGCTGAGGCAGAATTGCTTGAACCTGGGAAGTAGAGGTTGCAGTGAGCCAAGATTGCGCCACTGCACTCCAGCCTGGGTGACAGAGCAAGACTCTGTCTAAAAAAGAAAAAAAAAAAAAGTAAAGTTATGATTGCTGAACAGGGCGTGATTGTTTTGGTAACGTTGGAGAAAAGAAAGCCTGGCCCCTAGAAAGGCTTGATCCCTGGAAGCCTCCTCTTGCTGAAGGAAAAATCCCAGTACTGCCTTTCCATGTGCTGTGAGTGCTTTGAGTTCATACTGTCAACAGAGTGGGTCCAGCTCCCATGCTTTCCATGAAGATCTTCAAATGTCATCCACGCTCATGAGATGGATCAACTTGTATCCTGAACAAGCAAAACTGTTTGGGACACACTGCCTTCAGGCAGTCCCTTAGACCCCAAGGATTCCAGGAACTTTTCAGATGGGACTAGAAACACTAGGGCAGGAGTTCCTCTGGTAGGAGGCCTGTTCACCTGTATGGCCTGACTAATGGATGTCCTGCTTGGGGTGTCCTAATTTTGCAAGTTCTTTGTTTTCAGGGGTACCACCTATGCCCCTGGGACTGTGCTTCTGTACATGACCATAACTCTCATGATGTCCCCTCAGCCCTGGAAACCATGTGGGTTAGCTTCCGCTTACTGGCCAGAGTTGTACTGTGCCTGAATTGATGCCTCAGGTCAGGTTAAAAAAATAATAATAAAGGTTCAGACAGCAATTAAGGGCCGGGCATGGTGGCTCACACGTGTAATCCCAGCACTTTGGGAGGCTGAGGTGGGCAGATCACCTGAGGTCAGGAGTTTGAGAGCAGCCTGACCAACATGGTGAAACCCCGTCTCTAGTAAGAATATGAAAATAAAAAAATTAGCTGGGTGTGGTGGCGTGCACCTGTAGTCCCAGCTACTTGGGAGGCTGAGGCAGGAGAATGACTTGAACCCAGGAGGTGGAGATTGCAGTGAGCCCAGATCACGCCGTTACACTCCAGCCTGCGACAGAGCAAGACTCCACGTCAAAAAAAAAAAGAAACTAATTAGGGAGGAAGCCACCCAGCTTTCCAAGATAGCCTTTATGGTTAATGGGATTTAATTTAACTGGTTACATCCAGGACCCCTACCAGGAAGAACTGAGGTCCATGCTTCAGGTTGGTCTCACTCTTTTGTATGGGGGTCCTACTGATAATAATTTTGCTGTAAAGAAGTCTCAATAAGGAGATGGAGTATGTGAAAAGGATGAGAAAGCAGGCCTGTCTCTGCTGTCCTTAGGCCTGTTTGCAAGGCTGGCCATTGGCTGGCATTGAAAGCTTGGATTTCAGGAGGGTTCTCACTACTTAAATGATAACAATGTCTCATTGTGCCTACCTAAACTTTGTACAAACAATGTGGGTTATGCTGAACATCTGCTCTCCTGGAGTTTGGGATTTTGGTATGTGTTAGGCAGAGGATGAGGTGACCAGAAGCCTGGACACAGTCTGTAATGACCTTCCNAGGCTGTCAGTCTACTGTTGCAAGTGCAACTAATCCCAAAAGCTGAATGCAACGAGTCAACCCTGGACACAGTCTGTAATGATCTTCCCCGATACACATTTCACATGGGTGTCACAATTGATTGCTGGAGGAATTGTGTCCTGTGTGACTGCTGGGAGAGGACCGTGGGAGGCTTGCACCTGGTTTCCCTGGACTTTGCCCATGCACTTTTTTCCTTTGCTGATTTTGCTTCCTAGCCTTTGGCTGTTGTAAATCATAGCCATGAGTATGACAACAGGCTGAGTCTGTGAATTTCCTAGTACATCATTAGATTAGGAGGTGGTGTTGGCATCTCCAGCACAGGGCGCAAGAGAGACTTGCAGTGTTTGTCATGTTCTCTTTCTCAATCTGGATGTGGTTTATGGATGTGTTCAGTTTGTGAAAATTCACTGAGCTCTATGTACAGTTATGATATGTACATTTTTTTCTGTAAGTGTATTAAATTTCAATAAAAAGAATAATTCACACCATGGGGGTACAAAATAACTTAATTTTCCAAAGTCTTCCTTTTATTCAGCCAACATTTTAGTAAGTACCCTTTTTTTTACCAAGCACTGCTCTGGGAGCTTGGGACATGGGGTGGAAAGGACGGCATTATTGTCCTCTTTGTCCTTCAGCTTAGCTGCAAGGCAGGTGAAGGATCCTTATAATATGGTTGATTTTTGCTGGCCTCTGTGAAGGATTGGAGGGGGCTAAAGAGACACAGAGAAAGAGCCTGTAACTTGGGTATTTTGCTGTTCCAGGGTTGCCACTCAAGTACCTACAGAAGCTAGAAGACAGACAGGCAAATGGACAAAGGGTTATAGCTTGTAACTGGGGCAAACTGAAAGCACGTCGTAGGCACAGAGTAGCTAGCACTTCTAATTTTTTCAGGAAAAGCCACAAATCTGAATTTTTATGAGCTCTTCTTTTAAATGCTGTAAATGTTTTAGGAGGGCCGGGTGCGGTGGCTCACACTGTAATCCCAGCAGTTTGGGAGGCCGAGGTGGGCAGGTCACTTGAAGTCAGGAGTTCGAGACCAGCCTGGCCAACATGGTGAAACTCAGTCTCTACTAAAAATACAAAAAAAAAAAAA